TCATATAGTTTCACATGATGTACATAGTTCCAACCTACAAGTGACTATATCAACGGCAGGAGAGTCCTCTCGTAGGTATAAGATAAAAACCATTTTTTTAATAAATTATTTTTCTACGATCATGAATTTTATTAAAATCTCAGAAGAATAGTATATCTGAAAGTTTGAAAAACTTTACAATCTCTATCAATAAGAATATGTAGAAGTAAGTTTTTCAATCATACTTCTAATATCACTTTTTAAACTAGAAAAAACTATTCTCAATTAATAAATAATTCATCTAATATACACTAGTAGAAAATTCAAAACATAAAACTTTTCTAAAATTATACTAGAAGAAATAACTTATATTTTGATTAAATCAACTTCTTTAATTTGTTATTTTTAGTCATTATTAAATCTATTATCGAGTGGACATTCTTCATCAGGAAAAACTGATAAATCTTCAACAAATTTAGCACGTGATTCGTTTTCTGGTAATAGAAGAAGACCATCAATACTTAGTCGATCATCAAGTGTAGACAATCCAAAAATATCAAATTTTAATGATGGATCTCGAAATAAGAAAAGACCATGTATGTGGAATTTAGATTTTAGTCCATATAATTCATCTTTAATAAGAATTAAGTAAGACAAGAGAAAATAATTATTTAAATATATTTATATATATATATATGCATATTTTTTTTTAGATGTTTTTATCGATACTTACCGGTTTATGGTGTTGGACTTGATCCACAAACAAAACTTACAGAAGTCAACTATTCATGTTTCTGACAACTTGGATAATATTACCCTTGTTTTTATTGTTTTCTGTTGGTTTGCATCCAAATATTTATATATATATATTTTGTTTGTTTGTTTTTTTATAACCGAAAATACATTTTCATTGAAATCAAAAATTAAAAAAAAAAAAAAACGAAATTAATAAACAAATGGATCAAGTCATACTTTCACATAAAAAATTCACCCAAAAATCTTTCATACAAAACTATAGTTGCTGTGTTTTTTTTCTTCTCATTCATCATCTCTTGTATTCAAATGAAAGTCCTCATCGCCAAATTAATAAATTTTAAATAACAGATGCATATAGTGTACCTGAAGTGAAATACTTGAATTTTGATGATTTAAAATTTATGTATAAAAACAAGTGGATAGAAGAAGTATTGTTAGCTACAGTTTTCTTATGGAAAAAATATAATTAATATATGAATAAGTCTCGTTGATCCTTTGAAGGTTCGGTCTATTTTCCTCAGGAAACGACTAAATCTTGAATGAAGTGTGTAACCATGAAATATCAAAATCTTAACAGAGTTTAAAACAAGATTCAATCAGCATCTTTACCGATTTATCACTAGGCTCAGAAATCTATTCAAGAAACCCTAAGTTCTGAAAGAAACGTGTAGCCAGGAATATCTGCTATATCTATGAGAATCCTAGGTGCGATCAAGAGTAAATCCTGCTAGGGTTTTGAATAATTAATTTAGAAAAAAAAAAATCTTGACACTAACTTGAGCAAATCCTAAGTAGGATCCTATTGAACCGTGTGAAATCCTGTAAACGGGAATTGCTACAATTTGAGATAGAGTTCTAAGCAAAATTTGACGAGTTTCTCGAAATTCAAGATTTCTTAAGAAATGAACAGGACTGACACTGGAGTGTTCTTCGCTTACTGTTATTATTAAGAAAAGTACTCACTATTAGAACTAATTCAATTACTTGCAAACGATATCTAATTACTCTATTAATTTAAACTACAATTGAATGATTTTTATTTCATTCATTTCAGCACACATTTCTGTTCTCAATAATATGAAAAAATCTCTCACGAGGAACCGTACGAAGTGATTCACCACTGTTGAACTCATATTTTGAACATATAGAGGAGACTTTTAGACTAGAATAATCCTAAAAGGACTCGGGTCTATAGGTCTCCGCTACAGACTTGTAGCCATATTAATTTAATTTTAGTTTAGGGCACACTATGCACAAAAAAAGAGACTGATGATATTTTGTCCACAGATAGGTCTACTCGAGAAAACATGAGATTCTTGCATCTTTTATGAGATCTAAATGAGTTTAGAAAATTTTACAAGTAAACCTATCTGTGGACAAAATACCGTCAGTCTCTTTTTTGTGCATAGTGTGCCCTAAACTAAAATTAAATTAATATGGCTACAAGTCTGTAGCGGAGACCTATAGACCCGAGTCCTTTTAGGATTATTCTAGTCTAAAAGTCTCCTCTATATG